CAACACCAAATTGTTGCTCAGCAAACAACCATATCAACCCATCCACTACACCAGCCACGCTCAGGGACTCTTCATTATACTAAATTTGAGGTGATCTGCCAGAAGTTTCTCTAAATTGATCAAGTTTGTGGTTTCCAAGATTATTCAAGGGGAACGAGTACTACTAGTAACAATAGCAACAGCTACTGGTGTGCTGTTTTCAATGATGAAAAGAACAAGAAGAAGAAGAACATCAACATCAGTTGGTGTATTCCCAACAGGAAATACAACAATGTCACCAGCCATTGAATCTGGTCAAAATGGATGTACACTTCTTCCTCCCTGTCCAAGGACTTTATTTGCTGCAARGTGCCTTATGTTCTTTGCCATTGAATATCCACTGCTTGTACCTACCACCAGTACAAACGTAAACTGTAAATCCAGAAATAATGGTACTACACTTTGCATCTCTTTAGTTGAAATAAGCTCAATATATGGCTGATTTCAATGCTTCTTTTTTGTTTAACAGATCTATCAAGATTGTATTAAGTGAAAGTGCCTGACATACTTGTGGTATTTACTTCAGCAGGGCCTTTTTTGGCATATCAAGAATATTAATCTTGTTTAATACTCTTTGAATATGTTAGTTATGCCTTCTAATGTCATACCAGAAGCAATAAAGGAATGAGCCTTCAAACAGACCTTTTGTCAATGTAAATATGATAATACTGTCAGTTGGGTTCTAACAGTCATTTTGATAAGCTGCTACTTCCACATCATGATCGCTACTAAGACGACTGACACATTTTTGAGGCTGCGATTCTCTTCAGCAGTACGGAGAACTTTCTTGTATTGGCCATTCTTGCTCAAAAGAGGTGCCTGGTACCATTGTCAATGCAACGTTTAGAGTTCCTCCCTATGTTGATAGTAGTGCAGTGTTTTCATGTGTGAAAAACAAAACAATTTTTATTGTTTGTCACGCGCATGCTCATTTTTATCTACTACAGCACTGCCTGCTGGTGGTGATTCTACGTGTTGTACACAGTCATTCGTGGAATCCAATGGCCAAAAACTCCAAAAACTGTTAAGTAAATATTGGACAATTATTTCTGGAAAAGTAGAGTATTGCAAAGAGTACTATTATTTCTGGATGATGGTAGTAACTTTTAATTATGCTAATACCAAGACAGATGTCGTGAGGGTACGTACGTAGAAGTAATACGTAAGCAGCATACATCATCATATTGAATTATGGAATTACGTAAGCAGCATACATCATCATATTGAATTATGGAATTACGTATCGAAAATATTAAGTAAACGAAAGAAACAATCTCTCAGTACTGAAGTCACGTTTGTATCACTTTCAAAAACTTAACGTATGTTGCGTCCCGTAATTTTAGTACTTAGATCTCTATCTTACTGTATTTAGARAAGAAAATGAAGCATTTGGCGAGAACAAGCGTTAAGGAGGCATATCCGCGTAATCACAATAAATACACAACGGAAAGGCGCATCTTTCTCTTCAAAACACCAAATCCAACCTTTGTTCTTTAGAAGCGTATGGGTTCCGTTACGGACGCAACCGAAGCTGAAAGTTCCTCAAGATATGACAACCACGCACCTACCTCCCGGTGAAAGAACCAAATACAAGTACAAGCATTCTAAGATGCGAAGTTTTAGGGCTGCCCAGCAAGCAAAGTGAGAAAAAAGAAGGCAACTCCCAGATATTCTGACTACGGGACAATACTTTCCGTAAAACAACGCACAAAACATCGTGTCGGAATCATACCTCCTTCTATGGACAATCCGAAGTTAACCCACGATATCGCAATCAAGGGGCTCATTCGTCGAGAATAAAATAGTCAGCATGCCGCCGGCACTTCGAGAACACCGAGCAATGGTGGGCGGAAGCGGCACTCGCGGCCTGATGTCACCAACTAGACGGATTTCCGTTGGCCGAAGAAAAGTCTTCACAAAATCCTCTTCCCTCTGGGTATCAATTGCGGAAAGCGAGGCGTGTGATTCCCACCCGCATTCGTCATTGCCCGGTGTCCCATTTGAATTGAACTGCGAGGGGAATAGAAATARCAGTTTCGATCTCAGACGCGAGGAGTGCAGAGACGATGTTGACGATGTAACCGCAACATTTAATCCCGATTGGGATTCTTACGGATCAAAAGTCATCAAGGAAACACAACGACAACAACAGGTTCAGGAGGACGTGTTTGATGCATTTAGAAGCAGTGGGGAAGATTTCAAGTCTCGTCTTGCAGCAATCGATGCATTCGACCATGCGCGTCACCTATCACCGTTTCCAGAGAGACAGGAGTTGCCGAGCAACACCAGAACACAGCCGAAAATAGGTTCGTCCTCTGGGTCGAAATGGTCCACAAGATTTGGGCGAAAAAAGAAGAACCCGTTCAAATACGAAGTATTTCATAACGATTTTGATGCACGAGAGGATCCCTCTCACAAAGGTAGATCCGATTCGAAGAAAAAAACACCCATTTTTCACAGCCCACCATCAGAATTCACCATCCCGGAGAGCCAGAATGAAGAATTGCCATCGGTGTTGGGAAGCAGCCGAGGCTGGGGCGCCGGTCACTCTTCTTCGCGCGAAAGAGCGCCGAGCGAAGCGCTTTCGGGCTCTACCCAACCGAAGACCTGCGACAGACGGTCGTTCCTTGGCGAGCACGAAAAATGCCACCACGGAGGAAGGATCGGTATCGAGCCATTCAAGCCGACCACAACGAGTGTCAAAAATGCCGAGAGCACCAAAATAAAACCAAGAACATCTATCGAAAATCCAAATGGATCGGAGTCGGGAGAGGTTCCCCAAGATCCCGTCGATCAGCAGTCACTTTTTCCCGGAGATGATTTCTTYTTTTTGTCGAGAAACATCCACGAAAATCCGAGCAACAGCGATAGTATTATCAGCACGAACAACACTGACGTCAAATGCTTTGACGAGGATCAGGAAACCAATACGACTTCGCAGATCACCGACCAAGCACCAAAAAGCAATAGTTCGTCGTTGTCGGTTGTGGTTCCAGGAGTCGATGATCCCGCCGATTGTTTGTCATACGCGGATTCTTCTTGTTCGTCCTTGCCCCATAATGACCGCTACTTTTCTAAGTCGAAAGAAAAAATTCCGCTGCTGAAGTCAAAATACGTGGACTGCAACTCGTGTGGTAGTCCAATTAAATCTAAGAAAAAGCAGCAGCTATTAGAGAAGGCGAAAAGAGCCGAGATCAAAAGAAAACTAAGAGAGGAAATGTGGGATCGCAGTCAGTTCTATTGGAAGTACGAATCTATCGGCGGCAAGAAGAAAGATCTCCAAAGCGGAGACGAACTTGATAACCTTGTCTCTAGGATTGCTCATCTGACTCCCCAATCACAGCAGCTGCAGCATAACGATCCYCTGATTGATTCCGAATGTGAGGAGCTGTGCAAGCAGGCAATCAGTGTAGAAGAAGCCACKGGAGAACTACCTCTATCGATTGCCGACAACAATGCTAACCACCACCGAGAAGGCGTTGAGGACTTCTTCCAGATGCCTCTGGGCATTCAGCTCAGCACTATTGCAGAAGGTGAAGACGAGGACATTGTGGGTCACAATTCATCTTCGTTCCGTTCCATGAATAGAACCGTACTGGAGCAACCGGTGATGGACGCCCTGCCGAACAACGAATCGTGTGCATCCCCGGGGCTGGTGGATGACGACTCTAAGAAGACAAAGAAAAAGAAGAGCTATTACTTTCACGCTAACTCGCGCCCGGCATACGAAGAATTTCAGGAACACACATATTTCGAGTCGATACAGCAGCACCGCATTTCAAGTGTGAAGAGGGCTGTGCCCAAGGAACTTAGTTTCAACAAGAAGTCATTTCCCCTGGTCCATGAGGAGCCACGGGAGCAGCAGCAACAACAGCAGCAGCAACAGCAGCAGCAACA